TATATATATATATATATATATATATATATATATATATATATATATAGAGCTTAACAATGTGACATAAGGAACATTTAATTCCTCATTTTTACATTAATATGTGAAATAAAGCACTATATATAAAAATCATCGGTCAATTCAATACACTTTATATTCTTCACCGCTAGTCCCTTAAGTGCCATGGTGTCCAGATAGCACTCATATCTCGACTGTCACGTACATGTGCGTTCCAGGTTACAAAAAGTGCTTGTTTTCTCCGGTTGCATGGCAATCTGCCATGGCCAGAGGTTCGTAATATCTGGCACCAAGCAAAATAATCAATGCATAAAGCGCATGCGTTTAGAGTGAGTATTTGTTAACCAAATATTTCAATACCATACTAGTGATTTATGATAGATATTGGCTTGGAAAAAAACAAATAAGATCCGAGAAAAGTGCACGCCAGGTGCAATCGATAAGCAATGACGCGCGTTAATTTCTATGCGCGTTTGATGAATCAGTGTTAATGGTAATTGCAGGGATAAAAGCAACTTACATATTGCTGTGAATCTACAAATTAATAAATTTTTATCATTTATAATTAAATCTGTAAAATTACAAAAAATTGGAAATTGGATATGTCAATATTATCACAAATTTATAGATAGACTTATCGCTTTTTCTTTAAAGCATATTAAAAAACAATTATTTATTTAAACTTTTTAATTTAATAACTTAATGATACAATTTGTAAATTTACAATTTAAATTAATTAAACCTATGTTTTTAAACATATAACTAAAATGATTCATGCATTACATGAAAACTTTTGCATAGCGAAATTAAGCAACAGAAAAAACTCCTGCCTGTATCATAACGTCAGATTGTAGCAGAAATTTTTTTCAGCATTTTATTAATCAAAGGGATTGGCAGTATTGTCACGTCACATATTACAGCGAGCAGACACAATAACACTTTAATACTAAGTTACATCTATAGCTTTCGGGAGATGCTAATGGCACGAATGATGAAGGAAATTCATCGGTAGCGTAACTTTATATAAGGGGATAAGTCTTTAATTAGATAAAAGAAACTTATTACTTTAGTGTTTTATGAGTTTTGAGATGAGAACTTGATAATTCATATATTTTCGGAAAGGAAAGTTACGCCACCGAGAGCATACAACGCGGCGATCTCGCAGGTAACATGATGAATTAACAACAAATAAATATATTTGTAATATATGTATAATAATAGATTATACAGTGTGATATTTATGGGGCTTACACCGAGTTAGCTTAAATTACAAAAATACGCAAAGGCACTTGGTAAAAATCTTTGGTTCCTCAGCTGAGAAACATTTCGGGATAAATCCTTAAACTCAAAGTTCACACGGCGTTGTCGTCACAACTCGCATTTGACACTACAATCGATTTGCGACAACGATGATAATAACGATAACGATAAAAAATGCCGGAAGAAACTTGTTGAATTTTATTTGGATCATCAAGAATCAACATACTTTTCGAAATATTTTATGCAACAGGGAAAAGGAAATCTGTAATTTACTACTGTAATGCGAAACGTTAATTTTTCATATATGTCGAGGGACAATGAAACGTTCACACGAAAAGGACAAAATTGCACGTCATCGCGCATTGTTCCCGTTACGTAGATGTATAAGTTCTTTGCACTCAGATTTTATGCTACGTTCGTAATTCGGATATACAGGCGTAGAGATCGCAGAAAATAGACAGTTTTTATAGATACTCTCCTTAAAGATTCGAAAAGGATATCTCTCTTTCTTAAGAAGACAAGTTTAATTTTAGATACATACGCTACTACTATACCCGTTCTTTCGCCGCGCGCACGAAGAAAACACGCAACACGATAGATTTTATTTCCACTGCGGTAGAATATTGCACACAAAATGCCGCATAAATCATGCACTATATCACACATATCGGTATAAAATAATGAATTATAAAATAATTGGTAAAATATTCGATTAAGAAATTTACAAAATTAAATCTCAAATCGCTAATTTAAAGTTATTTTATACACATTCGTACGTTATAACTTTTCAATAAATCTGAAATCAGACTTTCAATGTAATTATCTATTTTAAAACGGATAATAAAAATCCCGCACGCGCGTGCGATGTATATATTCGCTTGATAGCGTAGGAAACATTTTAGCAACATATATAGGCAGCTTTACACTATATTTTTTTCAACCGTAACAAGCACGTTAAATAGCAAAGTAACCTTATGACTTTTATGTACAACTTAATGTCAAGTAACATTAGCGTATTGCATTAAGTTGGCCTTATACACAATAATGGACCGCGGGAAGTCCATCGCGACGCGAGAAATTAATGGCACTAACGACGAGCCAATTTAACGGCGCGAAAATAGAGGCGGTATTTTGTTTGCAATGATATAATGCCACTCACGTGATAAAATCGACACTCGTCAACGGAGGATTAAGGATATACACTTGGATGTATATTTGTATAGAACATGCTTGCACGAGTACGCTAATATATAAGTTTCGCGTATATACATGTACTAAATAAAAAGATTAATTGGTCTTATAATACAGCCAGGTAAACTTAATGACGATTAGTTTGTGCCATGGTCCAATTTAAATCTTTTCCTTATTTAAATCTTTTCCTCGTCCTTCCTTATCGTCACGATTGATTTAAACTTTTGATTGCCTTATTAAGAGCTGCCAGATTCAGCGGCACTTGTAATTATACAAAATTGAATATGCGTGACGTGTAAGCGCTCATTTTACTAGAGTTTTTCCTTTAATACATACATACATAGATTATGTAAGATAGCAAGAAATATGTAACAAAATTTATCAAATTATTTAAATCTTTCAATGCCAAACTTTACTTTTTTGGAATAAATCGTATTTAATTTGCCTGAATATAAGGGAATTAGCTGAAGGAATTAGCCTATCTAGCCTTTATTTAAATAAAGATATTAATGAGCATTTTAATAGTATTATTTAATCTATCAAAAAAAAGGAAACCAAAGAAGGAAACCTTTAATCAAGAAAATTACTGAAAAATAACGAACGGTCATACCTGTAACTGAAAGGGTTAATCACTCACATTTCTCACGAAGTAATTCTAGTTAAATGAGCGTAAAATCAAGCGACAATTTCTTCTCTTAAACACAGTGAGCGTTAATTTTCACTAATTGGCACTTCGTTAACCCGACGCTAATTGTATCCAGTTTGGTCCTCGGACCATTTTGCTTTTCCTGCAGGATTACGGAATACTCTCGTAAACACTAGCAGTAGCGAAGACTTGACGTTTGATTATAAATTTTAAGTTATGTACGGATTGTTGACTCAGAGATGCATCCGTTTCGCACATTCAATCTACATTCTCGCAATTCTTCTCCGATGAGCGAAAATTCCGTTAATTCTTAAAAACTTCAAGAAGAAATTCTATTAAAAAATTTCCCCTGTGTCAAAGGAGATTTCTCAAGTCAGCTCATACTTACGTACTAATAAAATAGTAGTCAGACAACCCGACTGCTATTTCTTAACTTAAAGTACATGCAGGTTTTCGCAATTTTTGAATTTACTATCCTCCTTGCCGAAAAGCCAAGTCAGCATCTGCCTAGCTTTCATGCTGGCGCGAACGACACCTCTGGATTTGTACCAGTGAGCACTACCTTCGCTGCTACCGCTGTTTCGATTCTCCTGGTTACTCTGAACCACTTTTAAACGGATTTGATTGAGAATGCCAACCAGAAGCTCGTCGACGTTGTGATTGATGCCCACTGACACTTCGATGAACTTTGCGCGATAGGTACATGCCAAGCATTTTCCATCTACAATACACGTCCGGAAATTCGGGATGGTGAGAAACAAATTGAAATAAAGATTCGTTAAAATTATTATGTTTAATTTAAGAGTTTAAAAAAAATCTTTCTTCTCCGAAATAGACAAATCAAAAGTCAAAGTTTCATAAATATGTAGAAGCTTTATAATGGAAAATCTATCACTTTTTGACAATAATAACAATATTCTATCATAAAAATTTATGTTATTTTTATGTTATTTATTAATTTTGCATTCATAAATACATAAATAATTATTTGAAATTAACGTCACAGGTACGATATGCACGTGCACACATAGACATATATATTGTACACGCAGATACGATAATCTTATTTTTATTTTAGAATTTGCCTGACGTACCATCATGTTAACTGAACGTTCAGTTTTATAAAGTATCACAAAACCGCTTATCCATGTAAAAAACGTATATGTAAAAAAGAAAGATGTTCCGCCTCTTACCCTGGGGCGAAACCACTCTGGAACGAACCAAATCGACCTTGTTCCCGACCAGAATAGCCGGTCTACCACGAAGAAGATCTTGATCGTGAAGTCGAGCGAGATATTCCTCAGCCCTTTGAAAGGACGCCTTGTCGATCACTGAATACATAACGACGAAGGCATCTGGTAACGGCATTTTTTCCAATTCGGTCTGCACATGTTAAATTTATTTGTTTAAATTTTACAAAATTTTAATTTTCTAATCGTTCACTTAAAAAAAACAGAATAAATAAATAAAAGTTTCTTGAATATAACGCATTTTTAGCATTAATAATCAATAAAAAGGATGTTTTCCTTACTTTTGGATTAGTGATGTTTAAAAATTTAAGCTCGCTTTCTTCACCATTCAGCATCACAAAAACAGATTGTTCACTCGGCATATCTGTAACAAAAATAAAACATGTAGAAATGTCTCGATATCTTTCAGAAATAATATTTTCATGATGATTCCAATATTCTACATTGCCTGCATAAAACTAAATACAACGCATAGATATAATATGCAATAAAAATCTGCAATAAATATCTATAATGAAAACATTCTTTTAAAAGTTAGCATTTTTCTCTTAAAACTAATAATCTCAGGATCTATATAATATATCTCGAAAAAAGAGTTTATTGCAAATAAAATTAAGGAAGAGAAAAAAAAGATTATAATCTGCTAACTTATTTATGCTAACTTTCTTTCTTTTTCTCATCAAATAAATAGCAAGAAAATAATTAAAACTATAAATAAAAACGAGGAACTAGAAGAAAATGTTCTCGCAAGTGACGTAAGAAAGAGCCCCAATATAATCTTTATAATTCTAAATGCGTTCTACGAATCGCCTGTCAAGAGCATCGCCAATTGATTTTAGCCTGCTAACGAAATATCGTGTGTGACGTCAGAAAGTTGATCGGATGTCATTGCCCTAATCGATTTTTTGAGCAATTCTTGCTTCTCTAGAGATGAAATTCGGCGGTTACTGAGGGATGTCATAAGTAACGGAAAATAAGAACGGTATAACCAGCATGGACGTCAAAACAATGTAAAACAAGGAAGAGTAAATACCATAAATTTTCAAATTTGTATTTTTTTAATATTTGATAAAGGTAAATTACAATTAAAATAAAATTACTTACAAAATTGGCATTATGAAAATTATTAAAAATATATATTTTTTTATTTATATTAAAATATACTTAAGAATATATAAGAAAATATGTTTTGTGTGTAGAAAAATGTATTCATTTTTTTAATTTTATACATGAAATTCCATTTAAATGTTGTAAAATAATTAAATTAAGCAAATAATTTAATTAAATTAAAGTTCTTTTTGTATCTTTTAATTATTTCTGGCTTTAATAATTACACTTATATGATTCTACATTTTATACAAAATATTTAATCTGTTGCCTTTTCATTACTCAGTGATTCCGGTTAGCTTTCTTTTTTATTTCAAGTAGTAGCTTATATATGTATTATAAATATGGATGATATATATGCGTACATAATACAGTGGAGGAAGCTCATATTTTGTTTAGAATTAAGAAAAACTTAGATAATTATTTATTTTTCATTAGTTAAATCGAGATATTATAGTATCATATTACGTATAATATGATAAAGGTAATATTTAAACAAAGAGAGACAACTTTAATTAGATCTCGAAATATATAATTCGCATTAACTCGTATACATGCATGACATATGTTTTGCAGCCGATTTCAATAAACTTTATTCTCTTTTCTTTTTTATTCTCGACTGTATGTTCTAACATACATATAAAATAACAATATGTGATTTTTATTAAAACAGAATGAGCTAATAGTAATTAATACATAAGTAACCTTTAAATTTGCCTTTTATTTATATTTAGCGCATAACTGAATAGAATATATTCACTCATTTATTATAAAATATATTTAATTTATTTATAATAAATATCGTTTAGTTTCAGAAAACCGTACAATATAAGAGAAAATAAAAGATAAAAGAAACACAATCAACAAAGTAAAACGTATTTTTAATTAATTTTATTTAAATAATATTTTTTTAAATAACCATCCGCTATTCAGGAATACGTGATTTAAATTTTCATGCACTACCAATGCTACTGCAGCTTTATCCTGTAATGTTCTTTCGGTGGGATTCTGCGATAAATTTTAGAAACCGTGAGATATTCTTTGAAACGTCGCCGTAAATTTGCAATGTGGAGTCTCACATGCTTCGCTGTTGCCAGAAAATAGAGGTTAACGGTCAGACATAGTAAGGTTGACGGACGTATATCTAGTATATTCGTGAAAATGTGGGAAGAAAGAAAGAAAGAGAGATTGGAACGACTTCTCTTAATCGAACACGACGGCATAGCGAGTGTCAGTGAACGAGGAAGATGATATATGTAACGCACTAGTTGCATCTTCCTCATCAAAGGAAAAGAAAGAACAGATATTATTGCAAAATTAGTGATATTGAAACAAAGTAACTTATATGAATTCGCACATAAATTTAACATTGCGCGGAAAATATTTCGAGCAATGATGCAAACAAAAATACAAAATAAAAATAAAATATTTAATTTAAATCGTAGAAATTGTAAATATATTTTAATAAATATAATACTTTTCCGAGAAACATGATAATCATGATTTAAACGCGATTTCGTTTTTGGATAACGACGTACTTTTCATGATAGGTAATTAATTCAATAAAATCGCGCGTACGAGACATAACGTGATTAATACGCAGGAACAAGTTCGATTGACGGCCGTGACGGGAATATCATGAACGCAAGAGAGGACTGACATTTTGGGGTTGCAAGATCACTAAAATGCGAATAAATATCGCGGAAATTGGTGAAACAAATTCGCCAGCGCAAGCGCACTGCAATTTTCATTCTTGAATACAAATTATTGATCTCCTAAATTCTCAAAAAAATTTATATTCATGTTATTCATTTATATTCATTTTAATTAGCTTAAATGTTTAAAAAAAACTTACTCGTTCGAGCAATAAAAAAATTTTATCTTGTATTCACAATTTCCAGAAATAATAGCTATTTGATACTGAATGTTCGATCACGTTTCATTTACATAAAATTTAATACAATATAATAAAAAATAATCAAGCTTTAACAAATTTAGAGTAAAATTGCTAACTTTGACAACAGATTTTATAAATATATATCACTGTTGCGTCACAAGATTTCTACTTTAATTTATTGCAATAATAATTTTCTATTTCAATTTTAATAATCCGTTATTTTATTTAGAAGAAATAATTGTAATTTTTTTAAAATTACAATTTGAATATGTCATTTCAGGCTGTTAAAATGTAATTAATTTAATATAATTCATTTAATACCTAATAAAATATGATACATTTATAGCAATCACCAATAAATAATGATTATTATATAAGATAAATAATGATTATTACAAATCTTTTATACACAATTAATTTACAAATTTAGAAAGTATTAAAATGTGTAGAAAGTATTAATACAAATTTATAAATATTACGTCTATATAGAGAATTCAGAAATAGTGCAAGTACATCTATCGCCAATACATTCGCCGGATCCATCAATATTGCAACACTTGCAATTTCCGTCATAAGTCGCCGGAAACGCAGCAATGATTTTTTGAAAAGAGGTTGGTAAGTTAAGAAAAAAAAGGCAGAGAAAAGAGGGAGAAGAGCAGAAACTCAACGAAGAGCGAGAAGGAGAACAGACGATGAACAGACGCGAACTCTCTATGATGTACGCTTATAGCACGAGGCGGACGCAAAATTAACCGTGGCTATTTCCGAGCGGCTTGTTCCTGCACTTTTCTTTTTTATACCTTCGTGGAAATCGTTTCGTTTGCTTTTCGAGGCGGACGTATTCCATCGACTTGCACACACTCAACGTGAGCGCGAGCGCGAATTGTTCTCTTTTCCGCGCGAAGTCACGAAGCATATTATAGCAATACAAAATGCAGATCTGAGTGTACAAAACGCTTTATACACATAAACTAAAACATATACAAAAATATTTATTTAAATAATATATATAGTGAAAGCATAAAATTGTACGAGACAAAAACATATACCACAGAAACATAGAAAATTGATGGTATTGCATAAAGAAAACATGTCAGATTAGCTTAAAAAATTTTGCAAATTATTTTCTTTGAGAAAATAATTTATATTAATTTAATTATATTTAATTATAATAATGTATATTAAGTTATCACTATATTATTTAATAATTATTATTATTATTAAAATAATTAAAATAGAAAGCAGAAAATTGTGTTCTATTAACTAACCATTAACTTCTTTTTAATTAATTATTAATTATTCTTTAATTAGATCTGTGTTTGAGACTTATTTTAAGTTTTATTAAATTACTTTAAGATTTAAAAAAAATATATACTAAGTTTAAGCTTAAGTTTAACTTAAAATCAGTACATATCATTTTTAAATCTTATTATTAACAAAAAATTTATCAAATTATAATTTTTATTTAAATTTAAAAATAATTTTAACTATTAAAAAAACAAATAAAGAGTTACAATGATACAATATTACAATATTTTATTCTTATAAATATAACTTATAAACCCTTTATGAGACATTTTTTATTATAATGTTATATTTTATCTTCATAAGTGATCAAATAAAATACGAAAAATAAATGTTTTTTGGTAAAAAATGAAGGTTGATTTAATTAGATCTGCGTTTCGACGTGCACTCTTTCTCTCTTTTTCTCCTTCGTGCGACGAATTGCCTCTTGACCTCGATCTCAATTTGCAGCAAAATTATCACACAAAACTTGACATCAGCCTAAATTTTTTTGCTTGTCATCCGGCGAGTTTTCGATTCAATTTTGATCGTGGCCAATCACAATTCATGAAACAACATAGAATATAACTAGAATAGGATAACATACAGAAATTTTAAACCTGTAAGCGGTTTCCAACTATTTTTGTCTCTATTTTCCCTGTCGTTTGTCATTTTAATTATACTATTCTTTTTTACCCATTTTATTTTAGAAAAACGTGGATCTCACTACGTCCAACAGTTTCAATAAAAATGTCAGACATATTATTTAAATACTTAATTATACTTTCATATAAGATTATATACTGCGTCAATTAGAATGCATATAAAAAAATAATTTTATTATTTATAAAGTTATCTAACATTTAAAACGATATTCAATAATATTCTTAAGGAAACTCTAAAACTATTAGCTATCATCAAATAAGTTTAGTTGATATTTTTTATGTTATATAAAGATTGCTTGTTTTGTTTATTAGAAATGCAATTTCATATAATAGTATTTAAATATCTTTCATATATTCTAACTATTTTTTTTCTAAGTATTTTTCAAAAAGCTAAAATTTTTTCCAATTTGTTTTTTATATCTTGAACATACAACAAAGATTTACATAATAAAAAGAAAACAGGTATGCTTGTTAGACATATAAATTGGTAAGCAAATTTAAAAAATACATTTTTCATAAAACTTTATTATTTTATAAATTAAAAAATTTACAACATTTGATACTTTTTGTTCTAATAATTATATCTTATTTTAAAAAGAACATATAACTTTATATCATTTGAGTGATATTAACTGATATTTGAATATCAGTTTCTTCTTCTTTTTGTTAAAGTTTGAAAGAGTAGTTCCATCAAGAAAACAATATTTCTTTTTATTTTACCATTAAATATTATGAACATAATTATGGCAATTATTAATCATTTCGTAATAATAATTTAATTGATCTTTTCCTTGATGAATTTTTCGCAAAAGCTTTGCTATAAAGCTTTTTGTGTAATTGATCGTAGAACTGTTTTCCGCTCCATTTTGCTTGAACTCATTTTCGCAAACCATCTCTTCTTATACAAATTCTGATTGGTTCATAAGAATAAACATGTGACATCAAAAAGTTTCTATAAGCACAATACTTATAAAATAAACTGTAAATCAGAAATGTTTAACTTTTATATTATATTACATATTATATTACATTACTTATATTTACATAATAATACATAACTATCTCACAAATTACTATTTAATAATGCAATTTACAAAACTTTATCATAGCAATTTATAAATTAATCATTTAATTCTAAAATTTATGATATATATAATTTAGAATATAATCTCGACGTATAGAATAAATAAATCTGATTAAGATATAATCAGAAATTTTAATCATGCTTATGTTAATATGTATAATTAATATAGATTATTTAGAATAATGTTATACTAATTAATACATAATTGAAACTAGAATACACTTTGATGACTTGTTAGGTATCTAATTGTGAGACAACGTAATGTTCATTGTTTCACGTTGTAATGAACATTAATATGTCTTAGGTTATAAGATAAATTACATAGAATGTAAAACGTAAAGCTGATAAGCTTATTGAGCTATTATGACATCATGATGTAGTTGCGTTATAATGTACATGAACATAATCCATATGCATGCCTGGTTCTAAACATAATTATAATCCTAGTGATTAAAATGTACTCGCAAAATCATTTTAATACAGGGATAAAGTTAGAGTGCACATCGCGAATCATGTTTCTTTATTACAAATCACATTCTCATTGGTTGCTTTATATCGCAATCGAGGAACGTTTATTAAAAAAACGATGATTGCGGTTGATAACCGAGAATAAGTTTATCGACGTGCTAGCAATAACAGAATTCGATAAATGCAGGCTATCATATAGAGATAATTGTATAAGCGTCGTGATTAAATTATTAATTAAATTACAGAGGCGTCAGTAATAAGAGTAATCAACTAAAGAATATTAATAGACTATATTTCCGTAGATTACAGTTGACAACGGAGAAACAAATTTGTTTTCCCGAAATAATTTTATTGTAAAAAAACATTTTTTATTTTCTCTATTTAATATTCAATTTATTCCATATTTCTCATGCTAGTTAAAAAATAAAAAGAATAATAAACAATTATTTTTATATCGTATATTTCAACTTTTTATTTTTAAACGATGGTTATCATTAGAAAACTTTTTTAAATTCAATAAAATAAAGTAATGGAATAAATAAAGTAGACAATATTAAACGTAGATATTAAACTTAAAATAAAGTCATACGAGTCTTGAAAAATTTGAACATTCAATAACTAATCATATTTTGTATAAAAATCAAGATTGTATTTATTTGAAAAATTGAATAATAATTTATCTAAAATAACTTTTTTAAAAGAGAAAAAACTTAAAAATAACTTTTTTAAAAGAGAAAAACATCAAAAATTGACAAAACATCAATCTTTTGCAAAAGACGTAATTAAAAAGCAATCGCCGATTTAAATTCGAATTATTTATTTTGATTTAAGATTATAATTTATTCACATTTTTGTGCTTGTAATTTTACGTTATACAACCATTTGCAGAGACCGAGTTGTACCAGTCTATTTTTCTTTTTCGTAAATTACGATATTGCTAATAGTCTACAATCTACACGAAAGAAAACCATAAAATAAACAATACCTAAGCATTTCCAATCGACATTAATCACAAACAAGTGAACAAAGGGAAGTTTATAATGGCATTGTGAGAAATTAAAGTACAAGACAAAAGTAAAAGTAAATATATGTATGCAAAGTAAATATATGTATATGCAACAGAATAAATCACCGCGTTACACAAATAACAAAATCATACGAGAAAGCCATTAAAGTTGTTAACATTTTTGTAAACTGAAGTATGCCAGCAAAAATGTTTATTCTTTAACCCCGTGGCATTTGGCATAGGTCATTGTTTCCGTTCCCGAACTTCAAGACAGAGAGAGAAATACCATTGTGTTTCCACTTTTATGTTTTATAAGTTCACAAACGGGATTTCGTGCAATTTGACCAACATTAAAAATTCTATTTCTTCTTTAACGATAAGTTAGAAACTCTATTACCGCTGTAATAGAGTATCTTTGTGTTTCATATGCTTAGTGGTGGTGTGCAAAAACTTTCGTGCAGAAAATGTGATTAATGCGAGGGTTACACCGGAGTTCTCGCTACCATTTCGAAATCATTATCTCTGCGAAAACCTCTTGCCTGCGCGTACTAGACATAAATAGAAAATTCCATTACATTGGGCTATAAAAAAAAAGCACGAGGCAGGAAGTGAGGGAGAAAGGAAGAAGAGAGGGAATAGAGGGCGCGGATTTTTTTCTACCACGCGAGCATGCCCCATTGTTTAATAGCTCGCACGAATATCGATCGTAATAGCGCCAGGTGACGTCGCCGAACGCGGATTGAATGTGTCCAACTGGAACAAAGCCTCGCCCGTCTCGCTTATCATACTTTAGCACCAATGAAAGAGTTGCGAGGAAGTTTTTCAATGAGAAATAGAAGCAAGGGAAAATAGCAAAAGAGAAATTTGTGCGATTAGTTACGATTTGTAGAACAAATAAATATACTAACATAAACATACTAAATAAAATTGTAAAATAAAATGTAAAATAAAATATAATTTATAAAATGTAAAATAAAATAAAATTTATAAAAAGGAAACATTTTTCGTGAAAAAAAAAACATAAAAGATAATTTAGATAAAACTGTTTTAATTATTTAATATAATACATAATTTGTAATATATGACGTTGGAAATAATATGCAATTACTTGTTAATAAATCGTTTTCTTCTCTTTCTCTCTCTCTCTCTC